CTGGGATTGTTTTGCTGGGATTGTTTTGCTGGGAATGTTTTGCTGGGAATGTTTTGCTGGGAATGTTTTGCTGGGAATGTTTTGCTGGGAATGTTTTGCTGGGATTGTTCCTGGATGGGGACCCGGAGCAGTCCTGGCGTAGCTTTCCTGTTCCATAGAATCAGAGGTGCCTCCAGAGTTTTTTGGGAATTTGGGAAGTCTGTGTTGTCTCCTGACCGATCGTCTCAGGGCAGTTTGGGGTCTCAAGTAGGAGTTTTCCTCCCTTGGGTCTGGCATCTCAGCTCCTTCACCAAAGGAATTCCTTCCCAATATCCCACCTAACCCTGCCCTGTCAGTCTGAACCCATTCCCTGTGTCCTGCCCCTCCATCCCTTGTCTCCAGTCCCTCTCCAGCTCTCCTGGAGCCCCTTTAGGCCCTGGAAGGGGCTCTCAGGTCTCCTTGGAGCTCTCCCTTCTCCAGGTGAACTCCCCCAGCTCTCCCAGCCTGGCTCCATCACTGATATTCCTTAGGCATAAAATGTTAGGAAAAGAAATAAGAGCTGCTGGTCTATTCCTAGAGCTGTGAGCTGGAGAAGGGAAGGTTTAGGTGGGATATTGAGGAGGAATTCTTCCCAATGAGGGGCTGGGCTGGAATTCCAGGAGAAGCCGTGGCTGCCCCTGGATCCCTGGGAGTGCCCAAGGCCAGGCTGGAGCAACCTGGGCTGGTGGGATGATTTTAATGTCCCTTCCACCCCAGACTGTTCCATGATCCCATAACACAAGTTTGGCTTCGTTGGAATTCCGCCCAGTGCTGGTTTTCCTTTGGGCTCTCCGGGCACATCCCGTGCCAGCCCAGGCCCGTGGTGCCAGCAGGATCCCGAGTGTCCCTGTGCCAGCCCCTGCTGTCTCATGCTTTGCTCCTTATCTGGCCCCCCCAGAGCTCCAGCCCAGCATAATCGTCCTGTCAATGGTATTTTTTTTTATCTTGGTTGAAGGAGAAGGTGCTACCCGAGGCCTTGTCTGGCTTCCCAGCCTGGAATAAGCCTGGTTGTCACTGCCAGTGTTCAAATGTCCCGAAAATTCAACATTTTTGCACCTGGAATGCAGGATCTGGGCAGCTCAGCTGCTCTGCTCAACACTAAGAGTTGGGTTAAGGCACAAAAGGGAGTCAGACATTCCCAAAAATTGCATGTGAAAGGTTTTCCATTGGAGAAATTTATTCCTTGGATTATGGTTCTCAGGAATCTGGGGAGGGGTTTTTTAATTGGGGTTTTTTTGTGGTTTTTTTTTTTGGTTTCGTTTGGTTTTTTGGTTTGTTTTTTTTCTTTGTGGATATTTGAGCACATTAAAATAAGAAAATAAAATTACCATTTGCAGGCAGGAAATGTTGGATGAGAAGACCCAAGTCTGGGATTCAGCTTTCCCTCAGAGTCGCCCTCCTAGGCTTTGGTGCTTCTCCTCGTGTCCTTAAATGCCCCCCATCCCCTCAGAGCTCCATGTCCAGGGATCCTGTGAGGAGGAGGATGAAGGATTCCCTGGGACAGCTGACGCTGCACAGTCAGAGGCACTGAAAATATGTTTAAATCCTGGTTGGATTCAACTTCCTGGCTTTTCCACAGGAGGGATTTTTTCAGGAATTCGGCGCTTTGGTGCCCACGGTGCCATTCCTCTGTGTCCCTGGTGCCGGGTCTCCAGCTGGCACACGGGCTGTTCTCTTGGATTTTGGGAGCTGTTTCCTTGTGCCCTGTTCCCTGTGGCTCCGAGGGAGTTAACTGGGATCTGCAGGAAGGCTGGCACGGATCAGGCACTGGCACAAACAAGGGGGTTTTGTCACAGCCACTGTCACACAAAAGCAGCCACCGAGGCCTGGGAGTCGCAGGGAATTGGCGTTGGGAGGTGGGAACAAAACTCCAGGGAAAGCCCTTCCCTGGCTCCCCCAGGAATTAGTGCACAGGGGTGGAAAATTGTTAAAAACTCGGGACCTTTTTTTTTTTTAACCAGAGTTTTAGTGTGTTATGGGCTGTGGTTCCTTGTTGTCCTGCCAGGCTGGTGGAGCTGCTTCCCAAGGATTTGTGTCCAGGGGAGGGAATGGAGTGGGGAAAGGCTGGAGCAGCTGAGGGAGCTGGGGGGGCTCAGCCTGGAGAAAAGGAGGCTCAGGGGGGACCTTTTGGCTCTGCAACCCCCTGACAGGAGGGGGGAGCTGCCAGGGAACAAGGGACAGGAGGAGAGGGAACGGCCTCCAGCTGTGCCAGGGGAGGCTCAGGTTGGATATTGGGGAAATTCCTTCCTGGAAAGGGTTGGTTAAACATTGGAACTGCCCAGGTAGGTTTGGAGTCCCCAGCCCTGGAGGTGCCCAGGGAAGGCCTGGCCGTGGCACTCAGTGCTCTGGGCTGGGGGATGAGGTGGGGATGGGGCACAGGGTGGGCTTGATGCTCTGGGAGGGCTTTTCCAACCCCAGTGATTCCATGATTCCTCACAGGTGGACAGAAGGTGTTGCTTCTCAGGCTGATAAATGGCTGGCAGGGTTTTCGAGGTTTGGAGGAAACCACGTTTTGTCCTCGGGATGAACCACGGCCCCGTGGAATGGTTTGGGTTGGAAGGGACCTTAAATCCCCTCCCACTCCAACAGGGACACCTCCCAGCAGCCCAGGTTGCTCCCAGGGAAGATGATCCACACAAACACCTTCCTGCAGGGGAGGCTTTGCCAAGTGATTTTTAAATAAGTGGCAGTGGCTCCGTGATGGGAGCAGCGGGAGCTGGGAAAAGCTGAACTGGAGTCCGGGTGCTTCCAGTGGTTTATGGCCCGTGGTTTATGTTCATGGGAGATTTTGGGGGGTTGTCTGTGTGGGGTTTGAGTCTTTGGGGTTTGCTTTGCTCAGAAACCCTGTCCGGGTGCTCTCTGGCACTTGGCAAAGTTTTCTCTCGTTCCTCTAAAGCAGTGGAGCAATATTTTCCATGAGATTTTAAAAAAAATGAGAGTAAGAAAGAATCAGAGCTCTGGAATATGGGACAAAGTAAGAGCATTGTTGCAGAGGGTCCCTCTCTGTGTTCCTTTTCCTCTGGTGATGATTCTGGCAGCAGAAATCCCCCCTTGGTGTGGTTTTGGCCTGGAATTGCTGTGTCGGGAAAGCGCTCGGCTGTGCCCTGATGGGAACACGGATCCACCGGCTGATCCCAGCCGGGACTTGGATTTGCATAACAGCCTCTCCTCCAAAAATAAAGGAGACAGTGGTTGTTATCCTTGTTTTTATAACAGCACAAAAGGACACTGTGCTGATCCCTCTTCACCCCTGGCACGTGCAGGTGACAACACCCGATTCCAGATCCAGAGGCACAAACCCTGGGAATGTTTTTCTCTCCCTCTGCAAAGGCACTTTTTTTTGTTTTTAAATTAGGACACCTCAGATTTCACTGGGGGAAGCCCATCTGCCCGGATCAGAGCTCGGGGTGGATCTTTTCCAGCTGTCTGAGCACACAGAATCTGCAGGGGGGTTTTATTTCCCTTCCCGTGGTTTGGGGACTTCTGTGATTCCATGAAGTCGAGGCAGAGGGAACGGGAACAAAGTTTGTGAGGGATTTGGCACTGTCTGACATGAGATGCATGTGAGGGTTGGTTTTTTTTTGGCTATTAAAATGTGCAGGTTAGGATTATCACCTGAGGAGACCCCTCCTGGATCGCTGTGTCCGGTTCTGGTGCTCCCAGTGTCAAAAGGATGTGGATCTGTTGGAGTGAATCCACAGGAGGCCACAAACTTGTCAGGGGACTGGAGCACCTCTGCTCTGGAGTCAGGCTGGGAGAGCTGGGGGTGTTCACCTGGAGAAGGGAAGGATCCAGGGACACCTTACAGCCCCTTCCAGGGGCTCCAGGAGAACTGGAGAGGGACTGGGGACAAGGGATGGAGGGACAGGACACAGGGAATGGCTTCAAACTGCCAGAGGGCATGGATAGGTGGGATACTGGGGAGAAATTCCCCCCTGTGAAGGTGGGGAGGCCCTGGCACAGGTTGCCCAGAGAAGCTGTGGCTGCCCCTGGATCCCTGGAAGTGTCCAAGGCCAGGTTGGAGCAACCTGGGCTGGTGGGAGGTGTCCCTGCCCATGGCCGGGGGTGGCACAGGATGGGCTTTAAGCTCCCTTCCAACCCAATCCAGTCTGTGATTCCATGGAAAAGGTGAAAATGGGGAGGCCAGGTGGTACTTTGTCAGGTGTGAGAGGTGGCTGGGAAATTCCTGTGCAGGGAATTCCAGGAGTTCATCGGAAGAACCAAACTCGGCGCTGAGCGTCTTCGTCCCTTTGCCGTCAGCAGAGTCAAACACGTCGGTGTGTGAACACACCCCCCTGAGGTGCTGCACAACTCACCTGCCCCCCTTCCTGTTCCTAACTGGAGCGTGTCCATGTTTTCCAGAGCCTGGCCCAGCTAGAGAACCTGTGCAAGCAGCTGTATGAGACCACGGACACGGCGACGCGGCTGCAGGCGGAGAAAGCCCTGGTGGAGTTCACCAACAGCCCCGACTGCCTGAGCAAGTGCCAGCTGCTCCTCGAGAGAGGGAGTGTACGTAAAACCCCCCCAAAACCCACCCCAAATCCACCCTGCAGGGGGGCACTGAGGAGGGAAACACCCCCGAGGGCTGGAGCGGGGTGTTCATATTCCATATTCCACACCCGCGCTCCCGGATCTCGATTTGGGAGCCGCCGGTGCCCCAAAAAAAGCTGATTTTGCTGCTGCTGTGGGGTCACTTTAATGCCTCGTGGGCCCTGCTGGCTTCTCACAGGCTCCCACCCGGAGCTGCTGGGCTTTAAATTGGAATCCCAACCCCGTGGGAGTGAAGCTTCTCCATAGGGAAAACGGGGTGTGCAGGGAAATTCCGAGGGGGTAAAGCCGGCGGTGCTCCTTCTGGAATGTTGCCCTGGAAATCTGCCCCTGCTGTAGTGTTGGCTTAATGATCCAGCAGGTTAAAACAGAGGAAAGAAAAAAAAAAGCTGGATCATGTGCTGTGGAATTAGTGTGGCAGAAAGGGTGGGAATGGTGCCGGCAGTAAATCCCGCCCGGCTCCCGGAGCTTTGTCCCTGGGAAGGGGCCGCTTGGTTTTCACTTGGAATCAGCAGAAATCCCGTTCCAAAGGGCTGTGCCCCGTGATCCTTTGGCAGGACGTGCATCCAGCTCTCCTGCTGTCAGATTGGAGCCTTGTCCGTAAAGTAGGAAACACTAAACTGTTGGGAAGAGTCGAGTTCTCCGGGAGGAGGGAAAGGAGACGGACGTTAAAGGCTCCGCAAACTTCCCCAAAACTTCACTTCTCCTTAAATTTGAAGCCTGATGGATTCCAAACAAGCTTTTAATTGGAAGCTTTTCCAGTGGGAATGAGGAACTGGTTTACCTCAGGACAAATCACGATATATATTTGTAAGGAAAGGTCCTGAAGCCCAGTTTAATCCAGAGTGGGATCCGTTCTCCCTCCAAATTTGGGGTTTCTGTTCATTCCGGGATCTGACTCCCGTTGTACCCACAGGCCTTGGGAATATTGGAATAAAGAGCTTTCCTGCATTGATCCCAAGCTTTGTCCAGTCCCATATATTGCAGGCAAAATTCCTGTCATTCCCTGGCTGTGATTTAGGGAGTGGGATCAGCCAGGGGGGTTTAGGGGCCTGAATTCCACCAATGAGATCAGAGCTGGGTGGTCCTTAAGAAATACATTTTAACCTGGATTTACCAACCCAGGGCAAGCTCTAAGTGCTTCTTGATGTATCTTAACACACTCCTGGGATAATTCCAGGTGTGGAATTTTAGGAAACTTCACAAATTTTGACTATTTTTGCTTTCAGTGGCGCTTCCATTGTCTTTTGCTCATTAAGCTTTTCCTTCTTCAAATCCGAATTTGTTTTCTTTAGTGTCCATAAAAACATAGAATAAATACATCTAAATAATGCTATAATAATAATAATAATAATAATAATAATAATAATAATAATAATAATAATAATTCTATGTAGAATATTTAGACCTGCCAGTTAAATGAATGCTTTAAACTCAAATATTCGCAGAGGAATTAGCTTAAAATCCATTTAAAATCCGTTGCTGCTCTCTCTGAACTGTGCAATAAAATTCTCTCTTGTGTTTTGGGTTTGTTTTTCCCTCTTCCCAGTCCTCCTACTCCCAGTTACTGGCAGCCACCTGCCTTACCAAACTGGTGTCACGCACAAACAACCCCCTGCCGCTGGAGCAGCGAATAGATATCCGTAAGTATGGAATTTTTCTCCCCAAATTCCTGGGAATGTTCGCCATCTGGCCTTTGATCCGTGGCTGGGAGGTTTCCTGCAACCTCCAGTTTGGGCATCCTGAGGTTTGGGATGCTCAGAAAGGCGAGGAAACATAGGAAGTAAGAGAGTTCAAGGCTAAATATCCGGAATTTTTCCGGATGAAAAATGGGCTTTAAGCCCCCTTCCAACCCAATCCAGTCTGTGATTCCGTGGAAAAGGTGAAAATGGGGAGGCCAGGTGGTACTTTGTCAGCTGTGAGAGGTTGTCACACACTTTGTCAGGCGTGAGGGTCGATGGTTGGACTGGATGATCCCAGAGGGCTTTTCCAACCCTAATTTTTAGATTTTTCCATGATTTTTGGTACAAACAACTGATGGTACCAACAACTCAGGCTCGAGGGGTGGGAATCCCTCATTTCCAGCCCCTTCCCAGACATTAAAGTCACAAATCAGGGGTCAACCTTTACCTCTGACCCACTAATTCCTTAAAACCCCTTCCCACCTCATTTCCATGTACCATGTTTGGGTTGTGAAGGGATGGTGGAATCTCCATCCCTGGAAGTGTTCAAGAAACACCTGGAAAACAGTTTGTGGTTGGTGGCTGGACATGGTTTGTGGTTGGACTGGATGATCCCAGAGGGCTTTTCCAACCCTGATTTTTAGATTTTTAATTAATTCCATGATTTTTGGTACCAGCAACTGATGGTACCAAAAACTCAAGCTCGAGGGGTGGGAATCCCTCATTTCCAGCCCCTTCCCAGACATTAAAGTCACAAATAAAGGTCACAAATAACCCAGTATTTCCTTAAAACCCATTCCCACCTCATTTCCATGTGCCATGTTTGGGTTGTGAAGAGGTGATGGAATCTCCATCCCTGGAATTGTCTGGATGTGGCACTTGGAGGGACATGGTTTGTGGTTGATGGTTGGACATGGTTCATGTTGGCCTGGGTTGATGGTTGGAGTGGATGATCCCAGAGGGCTTCTCCAACCCTGATTTTTAGATTTTTAATTAATTCCATGATTTTTGGTATCAACAACTCAGGCCCAAGGGGTGGGAATCCCTCATTTCCAACCCCTTCCCAGGTCTTAAACTCACAAAGGCTCAACCTTTCCCTCCAACCCACTACTCCCTTAAAACCCATTCCCACCTCATTTCCGTGTGCCGTATTTGGTGGTGGAATCCCTAACCCTGGAATTGTCTGGATGTGGCACTTGGAGGGACATGGTTTGTGGTTGATGGTTGGACTGGATGATCCCAGATGGCTTTTCCAACCCTAATTTTTAGATCTTTCCATGATTTTTGGTATGGAATTTACCAACAACTCAGTCTCAAGGGGTGGGAATCCCTCATTTCCAACCCCTTCCCACGTGTTACAGCCCCAAACAAAGGCTCAACCTTTCCCTCCAACCCGCTCCTCCCTTCAAACCCTTTCCCACCTCATTTCCATGTGCCATATTTGGTGGTGGAATCCCTAACCCTGGAATTGTCTGGATGTGGCACTTGGAGGGACATGGTTTGTGGTTGATGGTTGGACATGGTTTAATGGTTGATGGTTGGACATGGTTTGTGTTGGCCTGGGTTGATGGTTGGACTCTATGATCCCAGAAGGCTTTCCCAACCTTAATTTTTAGATCTTTCCATGATTTGTGGTATGGAATTTACCAACAACTCAGTCTCGAGGGGTGGGAATCCCTCATTTCCAACCCCTTCCCAGGCGTTACAGCCCCGAACAAAGGGTCAACCTTTACCTTTACTTCCTTAAAACCCCTTCCACTTCACTTCCGCGCGCCCAGATCCCGTGTCCCGCCGTGTTTTCCAGGGAATTATGTGCTCAACTACCTGGCCACGAGGCCGAAGCTGGCGACGTTCGTGACGCAGGCGCTGATCCAGCTCTACGCCCGCATCACCAAGCTGGGCTGGTTCGACTGCCAGAAGGACGAGTACGTCTTCAGGAACGTCATCACCGACGTCACCCGCTTCCTCCAGGTCGGACCTTTGGCCCCGCCCTTCCCGGGGATCGGCCCGAATTCCGGCGCCTTTCCGCCAGTCCCGAAATTCCGCTCTTCCGGGGGCCGGGGCTTGGCGGTTTGGAATCTGGGGGGTTCCCGGGCCGAGGAGCTGCCAGGGCACATCAGTGCTTAGGATTTGAAATTTGGGGGAGCGGGAACTTATTTCTAGTTACTGTATTTTAAAATTTGGAGGTTCTAGTTCTTAT